CTCAGTCTTCCCTGTTGAAACACAGCAGGTCTTCACATGGTTCCTTGCATTCATGTAACTTCTTACTAAACCTAAATGAAGACTTATCTTGGGCAGGAGTTTGGTTATTTATCTGCAGTTGTCTTGGCACCTAAAACTTTGCTGGACACCAGTAAGTATTCGATAATTGTTTTTGTTGAATGACTCGCTATCCTCATTCTACACAGTCTCAGTCATATCTTGTTTTATGTCTTTATCTCCATTTCTTCTGAAGAATAATACACAAATTTTTCATAAAACTCAAGTTCTTCATAAAATGACCCCAAACCACCTCTCTCTAACTTCATATTCTACTGTCACCAAAATCTTTTACACAGTGGGCCCATCATCATACCAGAGCTGATTATTTTCATCATCTCTGAGCATTGGTGACATTCTCTTCATTCGGGATGTCCCCTCTACATGATCCCTCTGTAGACTGATTTACGTCCCTCCATCCTGACCACTCTGTGACAAGGACATGCATCTATGTCTGTCTTGTTCACCATGTATTTCTGTTGTTACCGATATTGCTCCCTAATTAGTGTTTGTTGGATGGACATGTGAGGAAGGTTGTTGATTCTTTGATCTTCTAAGCGAAACTGATACCCTTTCCCCTGGTATCCACTCCATTGGCATCAAGCTATAATTATTTCTGTACATTTCAAGGATGATATGAGTACCCTCTGGACAAAACTGCACACACACACACACACACACACACACACACACATGCAATCTATAGTTCCCAGTCCACGCTGTGCCAGGCATTCAACACAAATTTGCTGCTTGAAATTTCAAGTCTCCTACATTGAAATGCTTTGCAAAAATCTAGAGCGGATTATTTTATTTTTCCTAGGTTATAAGTGGATGTATATAATTAAGCTACACCTAGACTAAATATGGTTCTCAGTAAGTTTAAAACTTGTACCCTAAGACAAATTGGGTTTTTAAGAGAAAAAAGTAACAGAATGGCTAAATTAGTCTTTACTATTCCTTCAGCTCTGAAGTTCAGGGTTCTGGGCTTACAGGTAAAGTTAGTCTCTTTTACCACATCTACTTTTCTCCCAGCACTGTTGTGCTTTGTCCTCCCTGTATGTGCACCCAATCTTCAGTTGGAAAGGAGCCCCATCTGTGTCCTTCCTCCCAGCCAAGTGTCTCCAATTTGGTCCACCTTCTTTTTCTTGTTACTTTTATCACTTGTTTTCATAAAAGCTTATTTTGAGCACAGGTACAATGTTTTCTTTAGAACCAATGAAACTTACCTCATTTTTGTTAGGTAGGCAAGTTTTCATGATTTCAGAATAATACAGCTTCAAAGGACAGATATTTAGGTTAATAAGTCCTGTCTAACGTTAGTACTGCATACAGTGCCTCCCATGTAGCTGGCACTGAATGAAGGCTGAATGAATGAATGAATGAATGAATGAATGAATGAAATGAATGAATGAATCATACGAAGCCATGAAAGAAACCCTAAACTTTAAGTTCAACAGCTGATCAAGGAAACATTCTCCTCCCACTCCTTAGAAGAGTGCATCTTATCTTATGGGCCCAAGAACAGATCTGATATGATCTCCTCCCAGAAGAACAGTAGGAAGTAGCAGAACTGCCTTCCATGAATTTTTTTTTAAATGATGAAAATTACCTTATAAATTACTTCTAGTAAATTAATCTTTCTTCTTCTCCTTCTAACCTTATAATTATGAAGGGAAGTATAACAACATTTCCCTGTAAAGAGATTTAGTAATTCTGACAGTACTTCATTAATCACTTAATCAGTGTTCAAGCATAACTGATGTCCTTGACATATATAATCCATCTCGATTCCTCCTAAATTTGATTCGCATTCTTTTTGAACCCAACAACTATATACACTAAGACTTAGTGGCCTGTTTTCACACTGTAGTGTTATTAGAGAAAAGTTGTGTGTTCACATCACAATCAGCATGTTAATTCCTACTGTGAGTCTCCTCGTAATCTACTTGAAAACAATCATTTTTTCTAGCAAATTTATAGAGATTAGCAGTGCTAGGATGAGATATTATTATTACTTAATGAGAGAAGCAGCCTAGGTAATCTTTTAGCTTAGTATATTTGAAAGTAGCATGCTTATTCTTATAGGTAAGACACAGCTACATCTTTTATGATACTTTTTGAACATTTCCATAGCTGCACCATAAAGGTAGCTGGCACAGAGATATAACGGCATCCCAAAGTTGAACAGTAGCATAAATTAGGTTTGTCTCATATTTTTCACTTTGAAAAGGTATTTTTATGATGTGACTACAGAAGTTCTTATTCTGCCACACTTTTTCTCTTAACATGTAACATTTTCGAAATGTAAAACAAAATTTTTCACCACAAATCTTATTGATGTATAATTTCCACATCTACTTGGTCATAATCTACCCTTCCCTCTATGCGCACACTTCTTGTCCACAACATATATTTTTCTAATTCCTATATAAAACCTACAGCAGAGATTTTGTAGGTCAGAAATCTGAAGAACAACAGATGAAGACCCTTAATACACAACTTTACATGAACATGAACAAGTGAGACAAAGACTTTGTTATCTTTCTTCCTTGGAGAGTATTTTCCTCCAGATGATAGCATGAAGTCCCAGGATTGTTTAAACCAAAGTCTCTACCTACTATGTATTACAGAAATTAAAAATAACATTTTATGTTAATGTAAGAGGAATCTTTAGAGGATGCTCAGAGTAGGACTTTATAACCAGATCCACTACTGAATCTGTAGACCAAAAATCAAGAAGCCCAAAGGATAACAGCAAGAATAATAACTCACATTTACTGACGTCTTCCCACTTCCCCTGGTACTGTATGGCAAGCTTTACAAGGGCTGTTTAGTGGAATATCCTTAACAACCCTCACTAGGAAGTCAGTGTCATGAATATTCCTAGTTCAAAGAAGAAAGCTAAGACTTGCAGAGATCGAGTACCTACCCAGAGTTAGACAGCCATTCTGTGGTGGGTTTGCTGAAGCCAGAGCTCTTAACCAGTAACTCTACTTTTCTA